CTCATTTGTCTTTCGCCACCATCTTCTCCTGTTTTCCATACTGCTTAACACCACTCTCTTCTACCGTCTTAGCATTTTACGACGTTGTGTTCCCTCTAGCTAATCTACCCCTTTACCAAAGACTGAGTTGTAGACTTAACTGGCTGAAAAGATGGCTTATCTCTCAATTAATAGACAATTTCACCAAAACTAACAAGGGGTGTTTCCAACAAACGAAAAAATGTAAATTTTCACCACAGGTGCTAGTATGATAAGGACGAGTTTACAGAGCATCTGAACCTAGTCAGGCATGCTAAACATGTTTGCCATTCAGTACCAGCCACCTGAACTGGCAGTTCAAAACAATTCTGCTTTGGCTGAATCACTACTGTAAGTAGTAGCTGATCTGCCACCAAGATAAATGCCTACATTCATTGTTGTTCTAACTAGTGACACCCATCCTAACCCTACAAAGGTTTTGATGTCATGTACATGTTGAAAGCTTGCAGTAATTTGTGGTTATGCTTGTAGTGTCCTGCCTCTGCCTAGCCAGGTTATTTGTTGGCTCCAAACAATTGGATACATTTGTATACTTTTTAAAAGCACATCATTAGTGACTGTTACCCTCTTTGCCATATAAAATTGGAAATATATTTTATGGCATCAGTGCTATGTTCAAGGAATCATATTCAAAAATTTTGACTAAAATTCCAGGAAACAAGAAAGGAGAAAACCACAAATATAGTAGAAATCTGGCCACCCTTACTGTTGTTATTGACTCCGAAAACCTATAAAAAGAACCCTCTAAGGGACACACTAAATTCTATGTAAGTTTGAGCACATAATAGTCTATCTGGATCAAGTAGCTGTAAAGTTAATACTCAAGAAAAAGTGATGAAAATTACCTGAAAATTACCCTTCAACACTCTGAGTGTTTAAAATATATGTTCATCTTTAAAGTAGCCAGTCAACAGTGTTGCAGACCTGTCTGTTATTGAAAATCAGTCATTGGAGTCTCTAAGCTGAAAGTCATCAGCTACAAGATGTTTATGGCTGGATTTCTTGCCTCATCTTGTCTTTTCAAACATGTTGTGTGATTCTTTATAACAAGCACAGCACTTGGTTTGTCAAGAGGTTTGGCAGGAATGATGCAAACAAAGGACTCACGGACACAAAAATAAACTAAAAAACAACCTTTTATTTGGTGGAACACCAAAGTCCATAAACAAAGAAAAAAATAGCCACCTTTTCCATCTGCTGCCCTCAGGGAGAAGGTACAGGTCTATAC